GTATTAAGTTTCTTCCTTATGATTTCGGTTGTAGGAATCTCATTACTTTTGTAACAGTCGTATATTGTTTTTTTCAATGATTTTATTAGATGAACATCTGAAGGTTTTGGTAATCCCGTATCACAACACGTCTTACGTTCATAAGGTTCGTTTTTAACTATTTTACGTACAGTTGAGAAAGGAATTTCGGTCAAATATGATAATGCCAATTCTTTGGTCCACGTGGATTAGTTCGCAGCGGCATTTTTTCTCTATATTGGTTTTTTAGCCTTTGAGATGCCGATAGCTTTAAGTATTCTCAATAAAGGTTACTTCTACTATACCAAGTGCCTAATTGTCTCAAGGGCCCTGAAACAGACCCTGCGTTTGATGGATTCAACGGTTTCAAGCGGTTAAATAAGTCCCAGTGCATGGTATTATGGTTATGAGGAAGCAGAAACAAAGTGTTTGCGTCAGGATCAATGTGATCATAGAGCTGCGAAGCTCTTCGTTTATTGTTGCCATATTTTGAAATGGAAATGAAATATTCTCCATTGGGATATTGAGAAAACAGTTTCTTCGAATAAATAATTCAAGACAAAATGTTTACTGAATAAATATTGATTTTAATCAATTTCCGTAGATACATCAACGGTGTACGTCAATCGTTTTTATTGATATGAATGAAAACAATACCAACGAACCTTCGTCATGAATTCTGACCGAAAATAATCAACAACGACGTAAAATATAAAATAATACAATTCAGCAATCACCGTAGAACATAACTCCTTATCGTCCAAAATGTAATGTGCGATAATGCTCATTGTATTTGTGATTAACTCAAAAACAATATTCATAATTTATTGACATGAAATACTTGAAATTGGATGTATTGTTGATAGGTGGTTAGTGGAGCGACTTAAGTTCAAGAAATTCTCGACTTTCAGTGTTAGTTGTTCAAACAAATTTTTGATAGTCTTTTGATATTACGGCAGTTAATTCGTTCAATTTTTTTCGACATTTCATACTCCCGCTAACTTCCTATAATCACCCTTTATGGGATTTAATTCATTTGTTACTTGAAGAAGTTCGTTGAGGAATTCAAACTAACCTCAATTGTCTTTATTAAGTTGTGACAGTAACTCGTTATGCCCTTCCTACTTTCTTTTATCTCCGTAACCTTGTTGTTGATTGTTCTTGAATTACANATTTTTTGAGTTATTAACGAAAAACTAAATACCATTTTTTTAAATCTTATTTTGTTAATAACAATTGCAATTTTTTACCCGCACCAAAATCCTTCAAAACCATTTTTCTAGAGGTGATTCCGAATCGAATGAGCTATCCCTCATATTTTTAGGGCCTTTATCTCTATTTTTCATGTTTTTGAACTTGTTGATTAGACTATGTGTTATGGAATCCAGTTTACGACTACCAAAAAACATCAATTGAGAGCGTGCGAAGGAAGTTCCTAAAATACTCATATCTCAAAGTTGATGGACAAAACCCCACGAGAGGCATCGATCAGAACATTTTGTTGACACGATTTGTTATCCTTGGTATAAAGTTCCTGCATGAATTACTAAACAACCATATTGACAGTACGCGGTTCTTTTACCCGAGATCAATTTCTTAGTATCAAGAAGTGAAGGATGACACAATCTGAAATTCTATTGCGAAGCATCACGCACAATTGTTATGCTACGATCATCATTTAATTTAATGTGCAGTAGCTTCAATAAAATCTGTGAACATTGCGATAATCATTTCGACTCTCTAAACGCCCTGGTATCATGTATCCACAATCACTTTCAATAATGCAATTAATAACACTTGTGCCAGTACTGCTACATTGCATGATTTGTAACTTTTTGTGTTATATACTCAATTTTTCATTCCCATTTTGAAATTCTATGTTTACAAATGTTTTATATATACTTTGTTTTAGCTTTCACTTTTATACATTTCTATATTCCATCATTTTTAAAAATTTTTCATATATACTCTGTGATAGCATTTCTTGTAACTGGGTACTACTGTTGGAAATAAATCGCTTTTTTTACGTCGATAACTATATCAATTATATTGACCACAATTTGTGAAAAATGTTTTAAATATCAATTTATCTTATAAATTATTTTTCTTTAAACTGATACTATAGTATACTGACTATAGTTCTATATTATGCTAGACATAATCTAAAGAACTAATAAAGTATTATTATTATTTGAACATTTCAAAACCATATAAAACTGAAAGAAATTAATGGACAATCAAATTATGTCCGAATATATACAAGTTCTATTCCTTACAAGTAAAACCGACCACTCTGAACATTTTTCACATAGCAAAAAGTGGCCACTTTGTAACTTGGTTTAATAAGCTATTACATTTCCAAAATAAAACTGAAATAGCAATCCCTCATTACCGTAATTCATAAACGTTAAGACAGTAACCTGAAACAATAATTAACCGTGTTTTGCCCACACACCACTGAAACTGAACCCTTTTATCTCGAAACCGGGCGTTCAAAACGAGAAGCAGGTGATAAACGGTAGGTGTAAGAACCGAAGGTAGAAATGACTTTACTGTGCTGTCTTTTCCCACGGATCGGCAACTACAAAAGACAACATCTGTCTCCCTGTTCAATTGTGTGGCAGGAAAAGCTCAAAGTCAAACCGAAATATATTCGTCAAAAAGTTTATCTACTTTTGCAAAGAGTCAAAATCATGTACTATTTTTACACGGATGTGGTACGAAGTCTGCATTTTACAGGAGGGGTAAAGCAACAGTCTTTAAAATGTTTGAAAAACAAGATTTAGTTCAATGTGGAGAAGTTTTCAAAAAAAGTAATTCGACTCAACAAGAAATTATCACGAACAGGATTCAGTTTCTTCTTTTTATGTACAAAGCTCTTCCTAAAAAACACTAAAAATAAGAAACAGGTGCAATTAGCTTGTCTTCCTCCAACCTCAGTTGCTACTCATCAACATCTATTCCGGGTATATTACCAAGTTCAAGTGTGGCTTGGTTATCAGCTAGACCCAAAAGACTGGGGTTGGAAGTTGGTCGACAATGCATTAGAACCTATTCAGACTTTACTCCGACCTGCGCCGGAAAAACTGCTGAACACAATTTTTTTCAACTGTAAAGAGGGATGCAGGGCTAAATGTGGTTGTAAAAAAGTTGGACTGTTGTATTCTCTGGCATGTACACATTGTCAAGGCCAGTTATGTTCTAATGCTGAATCACCAATAGTGGAGGATTCATTTGATACCAACGAGGAAACATGCGATACATCACTGTTGAAGCAGTTTACCTACACCAAGGATGAACATTAAGAAGAAGAAGAAGAAGAAGATCAAGAAGAAGAAGATCAAGAAGAAGAAGATCAAGAAGAAGAAGAAGAAGAAGATCAAGAATCACAACAGACATGTGGAATAGGCCTACTGGGGAAACTAGTTAAAGAAACGCGCTTAGTACACTACCTCATAGGTGGCGTGGAAACGTGTGCATATAATGACGATTACAACTTTTACAAAAAGAAAGTTTTTGGCTTTCTTCTACTCCATCTTGATACAAAATACAAGGATGAGGGTATCTTCCAAGGAAAGGAAGGAAGTAATCAATTTTAAAATAAGTAACTCTATACATTGTAGTAGAAAGCCAAAAACTTTCTTTCCCAAAAATTATCACTCCTAAAAATATAACCCCGCCAATTCAAACTTTTACAACTTTTTGACTCGTCGTATCTCAGAAACGGTGGCTCTAAGAAAAAAAAGTATTGATACATTTTTTGTAGAGAATTTTATGATCTACAAAAATCTATGAAAACTTACCGTTTTCCTGAAAATCGCGAAAAAACAATTTTTTTCGAGATTTTTGACCTTTGACCTCGAATACATTTTTTTCCAGGCATCGCAATCATTCGGAATTTCAAAATATTATTTTTAACAATGTCTAGATTTACCGGATTATATGGTATTTAGCAGTGAAATGAAAGAAACCTGGTTGCTGGTTGCTTAATTGATATTGCTCACGTTTGAGGGTGAACAAATGGACATTTATCTGGGAAATATTGAGGTCAAGAGATATTCATAAAGACAGATATAAGAACAAGATACCAATTCTCAAATCAAGTAATCGGAATAACAATAATTTTCAACAAGAACATTTCTTTGAAAGTACAATGTTCAATTGCTCTATTTTTACTTGTATTTTATATCACTTTTATTTCATTTCATGTTTTCTTGCTTAATATAGTTGTTATTTTCAGGTAACACGTTAAAAGGTAAGACCTCGATAGTCCTTAGCTCGCACAAGTTTCTCAACTTCTGAGAATTGCCGTTCGTATGGGGGCGACAGCTGTTTAACGGAAAAACAGATTATAAATTCTACGATGTTCGATTACGATATTTAAGCGCTGGCTGCAAGACAGTCAAGTACACAGTCAAGTGGACGTTATAGTGCGGTACGCAAAGTGATCTATTAATAAAGTTAAGTTTGATTATTCAGTGTAGTCAATTATTGGTGAACCCACGGGGAAAACGTAACAGTATTATACAGCGATTTTAGAGCGTTTGACGGTTGAAATTGCGAAAAAAACGACCCCACTTGAAGAAAAAGAAAGTGTTGCTTCATCAAGACAATGCACAGTATCACAAATAAATGAAAACGATGGCAAAATTGCATGAAATGGGCTCCCGCATATACCATATTCGCCAGATTTGGCTCCCAGTGACCACTGGTTGTTCGCAAACCACCAAAAAATACTCACCGAGTATGTTTTGGTGGTTTGCGAAAAGGTTGACATTATTTTCAAGGTTGTGTGTGATTCTATATGTTTTATCACCATTTTTTCTCATCTGTTTGTGATATTATTTTCTTACGCCACTGCAAGAAACAGATTGAGGCAAAAACGTCTCAGTCATTCCTGAGAATTTACTGCCTACTATTTTGCAATTATAGTATAGTGGAAGAAAATACGCATCAGTTATTCTTCAATGAAAACGCTCACACAATACTATTGATTTTACTGAATTTATTTTGAATGGTCCCAGAAATATCATGTACATGTCATCATACATATAAAAAATACATCTACTTTCAAAAAAACTAAGTTATTCAAAATAAGTAACCCTATGAATGAATAAGATAGTGAAAAAGATACTTTAAAAACACAAATAAAACAACTTCACGAATCTTTTATACTGAAGAACTAATCAAGACTTCCTCATTGTCAATACTGTATTAATATCACTAATAGTCCGACGCAAATTATCAATAATTTCTTTTATCTGTTCATTTCTCAAAACAATTTGTTCCTTAATCTCCTCGATTTCTTCGCACGCTGATCTATAGTCGTCCGAATTCTTCCTTTCATAACGTTTCTGATCTACTTCATCTTTATAAGAAATCAAACTTTCGATATTTATGTACTCCAAGCCTTGAAGCCGACAATTTTCATTGCACTTTTCGTATATATATCGAAGCCTTTTGAAGAGAACTCTAATGGTAAGCAGGCGATCTTGCAGTTTGGCCTTGGTATCGTTGTTGGTCCTAAGGCATTGTGGAGTACCATCTAGATCCAGAATCTGCTGGATAGTATTAAAAACCTCTTGAACACTGCTAAAAATGTACTTTACTGTTTCCTCACCAAATCTACAAAGAGCTACAGTATTGGATGCCTTGAATCGCAGCCGATGTTGGTTGGGAACGGGAGGTGTTGTAGCTTCATCTGCAGGTTGTTGGTTAATCTCATGGTGGTTCAAGGCTGGTGGAAACTCCGTGGGTCTGTGATGCATAGACATTTGGATTGGAGCATGATGAGGAGGAGTCCTCTGGTTGCTACTCATTGGAACACGTTCACTGATGCTCGGATTCATTTGATTTTCCACCACACTGTCCATTGGATCGGTCGTTTGGGGTGCCACAAGGCTCTCCATTGAATTTGACGTAGGTATTTGATTGGGCGTTGGTAAGGGTCCAAAAGAACGCATATCTGATTGTTCATAGTTATTTGAATTTTGCGTGAAATGATGTGGTGGTGATGCCATTCTTGATGTCCAAAACATCCAAACATATAATGCAACTCTACGGTACTATCTCACTGTTGATGTTGTTTACTTCAGTGTTCAATGTTTCTGCCAAAACAAAAACTGAGTTGAAATACATCATCAAGAATGTTTTCATTCATTAGAATTCAAAATGAAAATGAAATATTTCAATAATCATAGAGATTCGCATAGAAGTAAACAAAATCCGGGCTGGTAGGCAGTGGTATAGTCACTATAGTCAGTAGTATACCAGATAAACGCTTGGTACCACAAGTTTCTTCCGATCACAGCCTAGCAGCCTGAATTATATATTGAAAAACCATCTTCTGGTAAATTCATATTGTTGTCAAAGATAAATGTTTGTGTTCCACAATGTTGAAAGATAAGACACCGTTAATTCTCAGCTCACTTAAAATTCGACTTCTGAGGGTTGTCGTTCGTAGGGGAGCAACAGTTGATTAACGGAAACACAGATTTCAATAGATGTGTGACATTAGTTGTTGTTCTTTAGAACAAATGAGCGAAGAAACTTTATCATAGGCTACTTATTAGCTGAAAAGGAAATATTTCAGGAGGGAAAAAATTATGGGAAAAATTCGTTTTGACATTTTTCTGCTCCACCATCAAACAAAAATTGTGGAAAACGTTTATTTTTGTGATGGAGAAATATATATTCATTTGTTTATATTTATTGTAGATATTTATATATAGAGAAGGTGAAAATGGAGTTCCCACCAAATGGTTTCGTTTTCTGGATGATCATATTTATTAGAATATCAATTCGCTTACATATGTAAAATGATCCAAATTAAATATGCACGTAACTGAAACACGTGAAGTGAAACATACATGTTTTATGAGAGTACCTAATTTTCTACAGTGCATTTCTTTAATGTCCCCTGGGATTTTTAGAACGGGTCAACTCAAAAAATTGAAATTTGGGATAATGAAATTAATGCAAGAATACTTTATTTTGAAGTGAGATTGACAGATGAAACTTTCAAAATGGAGACTGGGCGCGATCTGGGAAAAAGTAAATGGAAAGGAAGGTCTTGTGACACATCGTTTTGAAGCTCCAACTACTACAAAATGGCGGAACTTTCAATAATTCTGTCTATTTAAAAAAATCTGTTTTTTCGTTAATCAGCTGTCGCCTCCATACGAACGACAACTCTCAGAAGTTGACAAACTTGTGCGAGCTAAGGACTAACGAGGTCTTACCTTTTAACGTGTGAATCCTAACACGGTAAGAATACATTGACATTTGACTACATAATATGAGGTAATAAGCTTGAGGTCAGTTCAGAAGATGCTCGAAATGGTTGCCTTGAACTTCTTGACACATGAACAGCCTATTCGACATTTCACGCCGAACATTTTCCACAAAGTAACTCTACAAATATTTATTATTTTTTGCCGTATATCCAATATTGAAGCAGGTTCAGTTTCTTACATCGTTCGCTTTAAATAGCCTCATGAAAAAAAATTCAAAGGTGTCAAATCTGGCGAGCGGGCTGGCCATTCTGTAGGACCTGGAAGGCCAATCCAACGACCGGGAAAAGTAGTATCCAAATACTTTCCAACTTGTCTGGAGTAATGTGGTGGTGCTCCATCTTGTTGGAATACAATATCCATATCAAATTCATTGAGATTCGCTTCGACTATTTCAGTGTTGAGAGGGTCCACAGTAGTTTCCAGCATATTCAAATACAGTTCCCCTGTTAAATTTTGATCAATAAATAGAGGTCCATATGGTTTTCCAATATTCCTGCCAAAACGTTAATTTTTTCTGGATATTGGGTATGTGTTTTCCGGAAAACGTGAGGGTTGGTGTCTGTGAACATTGCTGTTTAAAGAAATGTTCATTCGTCAATAAAACAAATATTGTGGAGATAGGTAGGAAGCCTTGCAATGGTTTTTGTCATGATTTCGGAGAATTCTGTTTTTTGATCAAGGTCATCTTCAGTTAATTGGTGTACCATTTTAATTTTGTATGGATTATACCTATTCCTCTTCAAAGTCTCCACACAATAGAAGCAGACACCTCACAAACATTCGCGACGGAATAAGTAGACTGTTCAGGATTTACTACCATCTCACCCATTATTTGCACTTGCTGTTCTTCCGGAATGGACGGATGACCTGGGAGCTTTTTGTTATGTACACTACCGGTAGTTGTGAATTTAGATACAAGTTCCCTCAAATATTTTCTACATCAGATAGGATGATTCGGAAAACGTTCATTGAAAATACTTTCGATCTCGTGAAAGTTACGCGTCGCACAGTAAATAAAAATCGCTTCAATTTTTTCTTTCAACGGACGAGAATTGACCATCTTAGAGATTGTTGACGTGGTACCTTTCTACTAGTAAAACCGAAAACTAAATGAGAATGAATTGAAGGGGTTATATTTTTTTTTCTAACTGAACAATGATGTTCATTGTCATACTAACATTTTTTCTCGTTTTTATAAACAAAAAATAACTTAACAAACCTTATCGGGTTGTTGGAACCGCCACATGGCAGATTAAAAGGAATATTTCTAGAAATATCGATATTGATGTGTTTGTCTTCAAGAAATTATTAAATGTTTCGCCATTTTGTAGGAGGTGAAGATATTGACTTCATATTCTAGGGTTATGAAGTATTCGTCAGGAGCTTCGAAATGATGAGTCACAAGACCCCCCTTTGCATTTAATTTTTTCTCAGATGGGGCCCAGTAGCCATGTTGAAAGTTTCATCTGTCAATTTCACTTCAAAATAACAATCCTCAAAAAACATCGAAAACTGTAGAATGTATTGCGAAATACCATTGATACATTTTTCAAGTGAAACATAATTCAACTCGAAAAATTCAACCCATCAACTGATACGCCTTTGATTTCCACTTCGAACGAATAAAAGTTCAAACTATTTATACTTTTCCTTCAACAATCGCAGAGCCAATTCCCAACCAAATCGCCGAAACAAAAGAAAAACTTCACGCGGATATAATTGTCTCCGGATAAACCAGCGCTTCTTTTATTTCTTCATCCATGAAAAATATCTGGAATGCTTCTGCGACAATTGGTCCTTTATAATTTATCAAGAGGGACGTAACCGGCATAGTCTGCGCGCCCAGTCTCTTTAAGTACGATACTCCTTTGTCTATATCTTTTGTTCTTTCATTGCCAACTGTGGCATGTATTTATAGGTAGTTGACAGAATTGGTTGCTGCAAGAACACGCTTGGACCAAGGCTTTTGCATTGATGTAGTTTCGAACACTAAAGATGGGTTTCGTTTTTTTCGAATTCCATTATTATTACTTCGTACAGATCAGTTGATGGGAAAACCTCTGACTATTTCCGAACTTATTAAAGTTTATTGATGCTCGTATCACAAAAAAATCAAGAATACACTAAAATGAAGTAGTTAGGAAGTAACTGCTTGGCAGTACCAAAGGTACTAGACCTGATTAATGGCTAAAATGTTAGTCAAAAGTTCACCATGCCCACAAATTTACCTTTTATATATAAAATAATGGTATAGAAGTAAAAACTTCGACAGAATTTGCAAACTTCCTTGCTGAAAAGTTTGGAACACACTCCAAAATAATTTTCAGGACGCTGAAAACGACAAAGAATCATATTACTTTGGTGATGACACCAGACTTGTTTAAGCAACATTTTCGCAGTGGACAAGAAATAATGGCCAGCATAATTAAAATAAAGGTAACAATTACCAAGTAGCCTTCAGTGCTATGAAAACCCAGATGTTTTCCTATCACTGCCGAAGAAAATGATGTACTTGAGGCAAGGTGGATATTCCAATGACTGCGTCGACTACTTTGTTAGTATCAAATTACTCGTGATGCACTGTTTGGAACCTTTGGTGCCGTAATGAATATTACTGGGCTATGCAGACGACTAAGTCATCTTGGTCCAGGGTAAATACAATAATGTAGTGAAGCAGGTCCTGAATATTTTAACAAGATGCACCGAAGAACAAGGGCTTAATATAAGCCCATTCAAATCGACCATAGTAGCATTCACCAAGAGGACTGAAACGGAGGGTCTCGGACCTCTAAAACTTCGAGGTGAAGAAATACAAGGGGGAGGTTAAATATCTGGGAGTAATTCTAGATTCTAAACTGACCTGGAACCAACACTTGGACAGGACAAAAAGGAAAGCGGAGGTAGTACTGATGCTCGCCAGACGCACCTACGGATAAACATGGGGGATAAAACCAGACATGGTACATTGGGTATACATGATGGTGGTTTAATCCATGTTAAATTAGGCATCTCTGGTCTTGTAGCCTAAGATGAAGCAGGCGACCACTATCAACAAACTAGGCAAGGTGCAAAGACTTGCATGTTTGGGAATGACAGGAGCAATGAGAACTACCCCAACAGCTGCATTGGAGACACTCTTGAGTCTACCTCCTTTACACTTTGTGATAATGGGGGAGGCCAGGATGGGCCAATTCAGACTAGAAAACTTACCGAACTACAAAAGATAGGACCGAACAGAAATTTCGGAACATGTAGAGGAGCACATATTGAATATGTGCACGGACCACATGACACCGAAGTACACCTTTAACACAAACTTCACGGCCAAAATCATAAGCCGTGAAGAGTGAAAGACCATCAGTCATCCCGAAAACATGTTTGGAAAAAACACCTGATATACAGATGGATTGAAGACCAAACATGGAACGGGAGCTGGGATATACCGAGCGGATAGAAATTCAAACTACAGTTATCCGCTAGGACTACACATCCGTTTTTCAGGCGGAAGTGTATGCTATCTTGCAGTGTGCAAGGCTTATTAAATTGAGACTTTAAAGAAATGAGCGGATCAATATTTTAACAGACAGCAAGATCGCACTAGGGGATTCGACAAACCCGAAGGTCTGAGAATGTCATGAAGAACTGAATGAACTTGCAAACAGGAACTTTGTACTGGGTGCCAGGGCATTCAGGAATCACAGGTAATGATAAAGCTGATGAATGCGCTAGACACGGATCATCAACTTCATATATAGGTCCTGAACCAGCTCTGGGGGTACCAAAATCCTTGGTACGAACAAAAGTACCTGGCA